AAAGCGCTTGAGCGCGCCGCTGATAAGAGCACGTGCAGTGGAAAGAGGATGCTGGAGGTGGTCGGGCTGGTCGCCAGCGCGCGGTATCTCGAGCGGCGCGTTTCTTCTCCGCGCGACACCCGCGGAGCTGACATGCTGACAACCGATCCAAGCACCGAGCCCGATACAGGACTACTTCTCTTGTATCGGATTCGGTGCTTGTTATGATTCCGATGTACAGAATTGTGTCTAATAAGTGCGCGCTTGGCACGCTACTGCTCTTTTTGCTGCTGCGGTTGTGTTTCGGTTTCAGTTCGCGCCACGATAGACCGAAACAGATACAGCAGTTGTTGAAGTAACAGTACGAGAGCGTCAACCGCGCGAAGGTTGTGCCAATCAGAGCGTGTTCTTGAATTACAGCTGCTTGATTCAGGCGACAAGTAAGAATCACTGTTGGGGGTTAATTTTATTTTCTGAAAAAGTTCTAAACTCCTGTGATTGGTCGAGAAAGCGTCGTTTCAGAATTAGAACTAGAATTTCAGAACTAGGTTTGAGCACCACTACTGTACTGAAGAAATCGTGCAATCGCCCCCGCTGTGTGTTAAGAAAAGAACCTTGTCGCCCCCCTACTGGCAACATTTTGCCAAAATATATCCCTAATGCCAGGAAGTTATGTGAAGTATACTTCACATAAATTTCTGAGTGCTTGTACTTGCCCCCGTTGAAGCTTTTTTCAAAACTTCTTACGTTGCCGCACACGAAAAGTCTTACTCTATCCACCCCCAAAAGGGCGGTCTTGTTTGAATAAAAATCTGAAGAGATATATGAGTCACAACATTGCCATTCGAAGACTCTCGAGAACGCTCGAAAACCGGTTATGTGAAGTATACTTCACACAGCTAAAACCCCTTTTCAAGCACAGAATCAACGGATTTTAGATATCATTTTACGTTTCTTATTGCTGACTGCCCCTCCTGCGAACGCTTCTCCTCATGGAACCCCCCACAATCTGCTCACTGCCACTGTCTCTAGTCGGACGTCTACTTGCTGTTGTGGTGCGCGGTCTTTTTTCAGCACTTGAACCTGCGCTTTGTAGCCTTCTTGCAGCAGTAGAGGGTGAGCTTCTCGTTCTTCTTTCAGATGCTGGTAAAATAGCATCTGATCCAGGCACACTGTCGGGCGATAGAACATCCCCTGGCGACAAATTCACCGCCCCTGTCGACAAATTAACCGGGTTTCCTGTTCTGACACCGACAATTAGACTTTGTTCTTGTGTACCTAAAAGCACACTACTCTCCGTTTCCTCGTAGCTGCCGCCCCCTGCGTCGTGACCAATTGAACTGTTTGTGCTGCTGATTTGAGGCAAAGAAGCTGGTGTCTTTCTCGGTTTTAAAAGCTTCACAGAGTGCCAAATGTCCCAACAACTCTTCCGAAGACCTGTAAATGTTCTTACACATAGATAAACCGAGCACATTCGGCAGGAAAAAGAGGATTTGTGACCTCGAAACCCGTTTCTGTGATTCCCGCACATTGCGCAGTATTTGAGCGCCCCAGGCTGCATTGGTACATGGCCACGAACAGTGAGACGTAACAGTGCACCGTCAGTGCTGTTAAAAAATTTGATGCGGTTTCTCTTTCGATTAAATGCAAGAGACATAAGCCGGTCGAGTTCTGTAGCTGATACAGCCTCGCCCACACCTAGGATACTAGTGTCATTCTGGTTGTCAACCAGAATGTTAGCAGCATGGTTTAGCAGTTCCAGCGAGACATCAAACATGAAGTCAGCAGTAGATTGCACCTTGTTTAGAAGGTTACGATAGTGGTCTAGTGAACGAAATGTGTCAGATGACTCCAACAAGTCTTCTCTTTGAAACATGCGCCAACCAATAAATGCGTTAATTGCCAGCGTTTTAAGAGTCTGCGAGATAAGCTTCTGTTCCCACTTGAAGTGAGAAGTTGAGCATCGCAATATTGCTCTTTGCTGAGTAGCACCGTCGACGCCTGCTTTTGTCTTAGAATAGAAACTCTGTGAAGCATGCTTGAATAGCTTCAAAGGCACAAATGGGCCGTGTACCTTGACATGGGTATCAATCATTTTCCAAAACGAATGCCTCGAAGAAATAACAGGGCGTTGTTCACTACTTACAAACTGCGGTATTGGTGCGCCCTCCTCGTATGCCCATGACACAACTGGACCACAAGTGAACTTTAAGACGGCAAGACATGTTTCAATGATATCCGGGGACCAGTAGATAATCACTGTATACAACACGCCAGTTTCAGAAGCAACAAGGTAGACAGAGTATTGCAGGCCTAGAATTATCACTTGCTGTAACATTTGAGCCATGTGCTCCTTCGCGACATATTTTTTGAATAGCTCGTCACCAACTGTACAAAGCACAGGATCGCCAGATGACAAAGAGATAGAGCTCGCTAAACTTCGTGCAGTCACCTTGGTCTTGATTTCGACAGATGCAAGTACTTCCATGTTTCCAGTAACATTATGATTGTCAATACTGCTAAATGGGTTTAGCCTTTCTACAATTTCTTCATCCAGGATAGCGACGCCATCTGGGGAGCAAGCTAGGAAAGGCACATCTTTTAAGCATAGCAAGCCGACCTCGAAAACATCTCTGATAAAACTCATTGATCTGAGAGCAGCTAGTACAGTATTCTCATTTGCACTGCCTCGCATCATAGGCTCTGTCGAAACCTTAGAACTAAACCAGCTGCGTTGAAAAATTTCTAGCCACTGTTCGGGCAAATTCTCCGTGTCGGCAGAAGCCGGTTCTAAACCCAAAGACAACCTCACTGCTGAGCTGCTCATTGCTACAAGACCAGCATTAGTTCCCGTTATCCGAAACTGTCGCAAAATAAACCAGTCTGCACACCTTTGTCCGATCGTAAGAACCGAACATACTGAAAGAAGTTGTTGTTCGACTGCACTCATTAAAACTTGAACTTCCGGTGGCTTCTCACTTTTTTTTGAGAAAAGGGTGTGTCGTAATGGCTCATTACTTTTAGGCACAGCAATCCATTTCTTAAGGGCTTCCTGAATCCCTTCAGGAGCCGTGTACATGAAACGAAGAACTTTACAGAACTTTTCGGTTCCGTGTTCCCGAACAGCAACTGCTGTGATTTTTCTTTGTCCCGTTCGGTTTCCAGAGCCCGCTGCAGCCGCCAATTTTGTGGCAATGAACGCATGAGGTCCTAACGCGGGGTTGTCATCAATAATGAACTTCCTTCTTCTGTCGCACAACACTTCCATATTCCCCACATTTTCCGAAGGTGGCAGAGGCATTTGTTCGGTAGGTGCATTGCTTCCAGCAGAAGCATTTCCCAGGTCATCTGACCTTGCACTAGTACATTCGTCTGTGTCTTCTAAGTCTCCTCTTCTTGGATCGAGATAGGAGGAAGCAACAAATGGGTGGACTCGAAGTAAATGATTTGGCATTACAAAAACAGAGCTAACACCGAAAGATGAAAGAACCTCCATAAAATTGGGCTTCCCGTAACCGCGATCGGCAGTAACTATACATCCATTCAGAGCCTCCTCTCCCCTCCCGTCCATCAAACCAGAAAGTAATTTTCGAACAGACTCTGTCTGTTGTTCCCCTCGTCTTCTGAATCGTATAGTTAAAACAATTCTGAAAAGTGCATCGGCCACAGCATCTGCTGAGTGGCCCTCTCTGTCAGCTTTTCTGGAGCTCAGCATTTTGACTTGGTTATCTGAAGCCCTAGTCCCAAACAGGTCATCATCTAGAGTCGCAAACAAATGCATGGGCTCAAAGAAAACTTTTCTAGATTCACGAAAAGCAAGGCTTTAAAACTCTGAAAGCTGCCGTGTTCTGTCCCGTTGCGCGCTCCAAGTGCTTGATCCATCGCTTCCCCGTCCAGTAGGTGAAAACGCAAGAATGTTGTCCGCAATAAACCTTGTTATCTCCAAGGAAGGCGCTACGCAGCCGTTCTGACGCTGTATCATAATAGTTTTTTCAAAACTGAATCCGGTTGTGTGAGAAAGCAAAAGGACAGCAACATAGCGATGCATGTCCGACATAGTGATAATTGTTTCCATGTTCCTCATTCGGACAAGCTCATTCATCCACTCAGTCAGTTGTTGCAGTATTCCGTTCATTATTAGCACCACAAATCCTGATCGAGTGGGAGTGATTCCTCTAACGTTGCATTGCAACTTCATCTTATTAACTGCTGTGCTGCAAAGCAGCCTCGCACGTTCTCGTATTATAGAATCCGCAAACTCTTTCTCCATTACCACCTCACTGGTTCTTGAGGTGCAAATATTCCACCCTGAAGCTGGATCCTGAATATTTGTTCCTGCCCTCCCTTCTCGGCCTGCACGCCTTCTGCCCCTTCCCAATGCACCTCCACGACTGCTTCGTGCCCTTCCTCTTGTAGTAAGTCCCTGAGAGCCCCTACCTCGTCCTCGTACACTTGGTCGTCCCCTTGCGTTCCCATGGGTCACAGTTTGTAGTCGAGGATGACCTGACGCATCGAGGCGCAGGTTTTGTGCGGAATTATTGCTCGGACCCGGCTCAGCTGCTGCTGTTATACCTTCTGAAACATCATTTGAAGTTCCTGTTGGTGATGGTTGAGCTCCACTAGCCAGAGGAGAGGGGTTTGAGGGCATCTCTGAGACGATGTCGAAGTGAGCGCGGCCATTTCGGCTGTGCTTGACCGATTTTTAATTTTGAATGTCCGAGAGACGCACAACATGCTGAGGATCAAGAATCCAATGTTACAGAATTCTTTAGATCAATACTGTAGACTTCAGGTCGCCGTCCAAAGAGCCCTTTTATACGGTCATATGTGAAGTATACTTCACATATGAGGGTTTTGGGCAAAAACCCCAAAACCCGTTATGTGAAGTATACTTCACACAAGTGGCATTAGGGATATTATCTGCTGCAACGGTTTGAGAAGACTGAAAAGTCCATGCCCCGGTTTTCGCCCCCCCACCCCCCGCCCTGCCCTCTTCGTCGCTCGACGGCGTGACCCCGCCGATGCCGTCAGTGGGCGTCTTTCTCGACAACGGCGGCGGCCTCATAAAAGCCTGCCAATTGCCGCTTAGTCGCACGACCGCCTCGCCCAGCCCTCCGCCGCTCCCCGCCTCTCTCACCGTCCCAAACGCGCTCGGCCGTCTTTCCAAGCATGCCCTTCCGCCGCCCCCCGAACTCTTGGGCAAATCGCGACGCCCAGCCGGCATGCTCGTCGGCGGCGAGTTGCTCGTCGCCCCCGACGTGACCGGCATGGTTCTACGGCGCCCCGTCGACCGCGGTGTCGTGGCCCTGTGGGACGCCCAGCGCGACGTTTGGGCGAGCGTCTTCTCCAAGCAGCTGGGCATCGATCTTGACAACCCCGTGGACACTGCCCTCATCGTCACTGAGCCACTGGGATTACCAGTCCACATGAGGCGCGCCATGGACGAGCTCGTATTCGAGGAATTTGGATTTGCGGAGTGCGCCCCGGTGTGTCCGCAGAGACTAGCCGCTGCGGGTGCGCGGAGGCCTACAGCCTTGATATTGGATTCTGGCTTTAGTGCGACGTCGGCGGTACCGGTTGTGGACGGCGTGGAGCTTGCGTTGTGCGCACGACGGCTTTCGCTAGGGGGGAAGGCGCTCACGAATATTCTGAAGGAGACCGTGAGCTTTCGTAGTGTTAACTTGATGGATGAGGGTGTGGTGGTAGAGGCGGTGAAGGAGCGCTTGTGCTACGTGTCGTTGGACTACCACGAGGAGCTTGCGCAGTGCAAGAAGGGAGAAAATAGAATTCGACGAGAGTATGTGCTGCCGGATATGTCGCGTATCGGCGGCGATCGCTTGGGGCATGTGTTGACGGAGGACGAGGAGACGGATGGGACGGAGCAGATTCTCCCGATGAACAATGAGCGCATATCTGTGCCAGAGATTCTGTTTAACCCGAGCGATGTGGGGCTGCAGCAGGCGGGCTTGGCTGAGATCATTTTTCAGGCGATTCAGGCGTGTCCAGAGGATCTGCATGCGCAGTTGTATGCAAATGTTGTGTTGACGGGAGGGAATTGCAAGTTTGGAAACTTTTATCAAAGGGTTGTTCAAGAGCTAAGGCCACTTGTTCGAGACAATTATGACGTGTGCGTTAACATGGGCGACGATCCTGTGTTGACGACGTATCAGGGTGGCGCCAGAGCGCTTTCTGATGATCACGTGCCTTTGAATTTTGTTACAAAGGCTTTGTATGAGGAAAACGGTTCCGATGCAGTGTTGAGACAGCTTTACAAGGACTCAGATAATGATAGATAGAGCAGAGGTTAACTGGAAAGTAGGAAAATGACGCAAGTTGATGAGAGCACGGGTGGAAGGAATCTTGACGAATGCAACACGGAAACAGACTGAACGGCGCAAGTTTTGGTGGAAATCAGAGTTTTTGGAACGGGGCCAGGAAGAGCAATCTACAGTGCACGATACAGAAGTTGGGGAGGGAGAGCAATGATTTGAGTACCAGAAAGGTTCTGAAAGACGAGGGACAATGTGTGGAGTGTAATGAAAGGAAACAGGTTTGATGTATCGCTACATACAAGTAATTAGATTGGGCAACGACTTTGGTCCATGTTCTCAGATAGTAGCAGGGCCAACTCCAGAGCTTGGGAAGCTAAGTACATGGGATGTATCCGCAGAAGACAAGAAAAGGCGTACAAAAAAACGTAAGGAAAGTAAGCACACACTCGATGGTTGGCTGAGAGAAAAGGCGAAAAAGATGGTGATGAAGAAGGAAAAAAGGAAGTAGGGCAATGACGTACCGTTAAGACGCGGATCACAGTGAGTTTCGTAGCGATTGCGCAAGTCTTCGTCCGTAAGCTCCATCATACCACCAACACATTCAGTGACATTCTGGCCGGTAAGCTCGAGATGTACACCGCCAGGATAGGTGCCCATGTTCTCATGGACGGCGAAAAACTCTGTAACTTCCTGGAGGATCTTATCAAAGCGCCTGGTCTTGAATCCGATGGAGGAGGTCTCGGTGTTACCATGGCACGGATCACAGCTCCAAACTACAGTCCTCCCCGCCTTTTGGACGGCCTCGATGAGACGCGGAAGATGGTCGGCGACCTTGCCCGCGCCGACGCGAGTGATGAGGGTGATGCGGCCCGGCTCGTTGTCCGGGTCGAGGATGTCAAGCAGCTGCAAGAGATCCTCACTCGTCAAGGTGGGCCCGCACTTGATGCCGATAGGGTTGGAAATGCCGCGCATGAACTCGACGTGGGCGCCGTTGGGCTGGCGGGTGCGGTCGCCCAGCCACAAAAAGTGGCCCGAGGTGGCGTACCACTTGCCTGTGGTGGGGTCTTGCCTGGTCAGAGCCTGCTCGTATGGCAGCAAGAGGGACTCATGCGAGACTGAGAACTCGGCCTGTCTAATCTTGTAGGCGTCGGGCGACAGGCCGCAGCTCTCCATAAAGGAAATGGCACTATCAATGGAGTTTGCGTACTCTGAAAACTTCTGGCCCTGCGGCGTCCCCCTGACAAATTTCAAGTTGATGTCATGGACGCGGTGCAAATCCAGGGCACCCCCCGACGCGAGAGTGCGCAACAAATTAATGGTGGCTGTGGACTGGACAAAAGCGGTGTACATCCTCTCCGGGTCCGGGGTCCTCTCTTCGATGGTGAAGCCAGGGCCATTAATGATGTCGCCCCTATACGACGGCAAGCTTAGCTCCTGGTCCTTCTTCTTCTCGAACGGGCTGGACCTGGGCTTAGCAAATTGGCCTGCGGACCTAAGAATCTTGACGACGGGCTTCCGGAGGCCATACATGAGCATTATGGACATCTGGATAAGCAGGGTAAAAGTATCCGAGACGTTATCGCCTCCATACTTGTCAAACTCCTGAAACGACTCTGCGCAATCGCCGCCCTGGATGACGAAGGCCTCGCCGCGCGCCGCCTTGGCCAGCTGCTGCTTGAGCTGCTCGCACTCGCCGGAGAAGACGAGCGGGAGCGAGCGGCGGAGCTTGTCCTCCATGGCGGCGAGCGCGTCGAGGTCGGGGTAGTCCGGCACCTGCAGGATCGGCATGGTGCGCCACGACTCCGGGGTCCACACGCGGCGCTGCGACGGCGCGGACGGCTCCGCGGCGACCATGCGCGGCGCGCGCGGCGTGCGCGCGTGCAGCGCGTGCGCGCGCGATTGCAGCGCGTGCGCGCGCGACCGCGACGGCAGCGCGACGCCCGCGGCGAAGGCGGACAGGGCCATGGGGGCGGGGCGG